TAATGCAGACTTCAGATTCTCTTATAAATTCTTAATGAAGTGATAACTTACTGAGAAAGCACTTAGGATTTCTAATACAAGTTCATTCACTTTGATTTCAGCAGAGCTGCAGATTATGAGCAAAGTAAGTAGTAAAACTGTTAGTTATTAGGAAGTCTTAACTTTCAGTGAATGACAGACCTCTACCTGGGGCCAGTCTTTCCTTACAAAACAACAGTAAGAAAAGACCCTATTGATGGACATCTTTTGTGATTTCTAAGGGATCAATTTAGAAATGTTTGAAAGAGCCCAGAATTTATACTTATGATACAGCACTTAAGAAGAAAAAGTGCTTTTGGTGACCTTGTGGGATGAGGATTATCATTATATATTTGTATGTGTGTATATATTCCACATATACATATATTACATATGTATAGTAATGCATTTTTAAATTATGTAATAGCACATTGTCTCACTTATATTTGGGATTCCCTGGATCAGAAGTATATACAGAGGGTTACAGAATTCAAGCCACACTTTTTGTAGAGAAAAATTAACTTTAAAACCACGATTCAAATTCTAAAAGTATAACATGTGACAGTCCTTCCTGTGATAAGGATTTGGACCACAGTAGATGGTAGTCAAGTAGGTGAATATATGACTATAAGAGAACATTATTTCATGTTTGGTCATACTTGAGACATTAATCATTTCCTTAAATATCAATTTATAATACTTATAACTTCTTCTGTATTATAGCTTTGTTGGGAAAGCTTGTTGTTGTTGTTATTGTTCAGAAAGACATCATCACCTGAAAAGTTTACTTCTGTATTGATTAGGAAATATGTGTACTTCTGCCACAGTCCACTGGACATTGCTGTTCAAGTAAACTTCAGATGCTACTCTAAAGGAGTTTGTGTGGTAGCTAAGATACATGCACAAAACTAGATAATAAGAGGCAAATGTAAGATGAGTTTCCAAGTCTTTGGTCAAGTAACCCCAAACCAAACAGATTTACACAACAAGGAGTGTTGTTGTCTTATAGATATGTTACACAATATGAGGTGCAGAGTTCAGTACTCTGGGTCTAACTCTAATGATGCGTAGATCTGGCACTCATTCAGTGCTTGATTTCCTCCTATTCCTCCACTGTTGGTACAGGATTCTAGGATGAGAAAGGAACTCCAAGGCCATCATCTTAAAATTAGGATTTACTCTAAATTCAAAGGTCCAGTCAAAGTTTCTTTGTGTCTTAGTAACTGGAGTTGGTGTCCAGCCTGGGAATGTTGTTGGCTGGGTCACCAATTAATCCCTTCCTCATCCTCACAATGGAAGAAGACCCAGCTTCACTAGAAATGCTGAGTTCAGGAGCCAGAAATGACCCAGGGGAAAGTGGGATTATAAAAACAGAGTAAACGGGTATGGGCAAAAATTTCTAAGTCCACTAATGAGGAGCAATGAGTCTGGCACTATCATGGATTAATTTTGGATAATAGCAGGAGGTAGACTCTGGAGACTTTTATTGTAAAGAGCAAGTACTAGGCGCAGGAATTGGACTTTATGAGGAATGGTATATAAATGGGATCTGGGGATAATTGACTTGTCAGCTCTGTGCAAGATAGACTGGGGATTGGGTGCTCAAGAGGGAAATAATGCGACCTCTGTTGTACTTGTACATATTTCAAAAGCCGTAGTATTTGTAGAGTATCTGTTGTATGCTATGAACTGTGGCCAACACCAAGAGGATGTTTTTTAGTTGATCTTGCCCTCCAAAGAGTTGACAAATGCGTTAGCCAGTTGCTGTGCGGAGAGGCTGCTCCGTGACTGCAAAACAGAAAATAGAAGTTCTTAAAATGAACCACGCTCTCTGAAGCTGGAAGCAATGTGAGCAGATACTTGGAGCAGAGAGGACTCTGAAGATGCTTTAAGATCAGGTGCATTGGGAGTTCTTGAACATCGATGTGTAGCTGGGTAGGAGAATCAGGCGACTGAGAGTTTGTAGGACACTGACTTTCTGTCAACAGATCCAGCCTTCCTGGTCTGTTGTGCTTTGGGAGGTTTCCTCAAGGGAAATGTTGGGTTTTCAGCCTTTGAGGTTTCCCAAGTTTAGTATAATTTCCCCCGAGCACACTCAAGTCTCTCCACATGCCTGGGCCTCAGTTTCCTCAATTGAAAAGGCCGAGCTTTGGGTAAAGATGTCTTATAAATTCCTTCCCAATGCTGAGGGTCTGTAAATTCAACAGAAACAACCATCACAATTTTTTTTGAAAGAAACATTTTTAAATTATTTTTTGTGTGTGTCTGCACCCAGTGGTCTTGGGGCTTATTCCTGGTTCTGAGCTCAGTAATCACTCGGGTGAGGCTCTGGGACAGTATGTGATGCCGTGGATCCAACCCAGGTTGGCCGTATTCAAGGCAAGTACCATACCTGCTGTCCTATCTCTCGAGCTCCAAGCATCTTGCTCTTTTTTTTAAGTATGTAAGAATTTCAAAATATTTTAATGTTCTTTATGTGATCTTGTTCTTATGTGATGGACTGATGTCTCCAGAAATAAGTTCCTTGAACATACTGGTTAATTGGCACAACCTGAAAGTGCCAGAGCCTGGAACATGAGGGCTCATTGGCAAATGGAGAGGAGAAAGCTGCAAACTTGGAAAACAGGTACAAGTAACCAGAACTGAAAGTTTCCAAGGGAAAGGGCAAAGGCTTGAAGTCCCAGCAGGACAATGAGGAAGCAAATACAATGGTCCATAGGAGGACTGGGAGAGAGAAAAGTGAAAATGAGAGCCAAGGGTCCATCCAAGCATGGGCTCACCACTAAATGCCCCCAGCCTCTTCACAAACTGGATTATATAGGACTGGGGAGGAAATGGCCTCTTTCAGCTACCACAGCCAAAGAGGACTTTGGAACAAGTGAGCAGAGCAGAGCAGATGAAGTCAGAATGGAGAAGGTGCCAATGAGAGGGAGGAACCGCAGAAAGTATTCTAAGATAAGTTACAATGTGAGCTTGGTTTTGCAGTAGTTTCCTCTGCTCTGCAATTACCTCATTTTAAAATAATCTTGCCTCCAATTCTAAAGAAAAAAAGACTCCTTCCCTTTCTAGGACACTTGGCTATTTAGAAATCCATTGCCCATTCATTTTCACCGCCAGCAAGAGAGTGGAACCACTTATGCTTCTTACTGAAAGGATGAGGGAATGGAGGGGAGGGGTCGCAGGGCAGCAAGAGACAGCCTTTGCAAGACCAAAAGTCCCTGAGCACAGACCCAATCTTATTTCATTCTGCATACCACAAAGCCTCAGTTCACTGGTCAGCATGCAGGGCACACCAATGAGTTGTTTTTGTTCTGAAGGAGGTAGAAATAGTAATATTTTTTATCACAGAGAGTTTATATTACCCTTAGATTAACTACAGAATGGTTTTTATGTAAGGCAGACTAAATAGACGTCTGTTTTTTTACAAACACTGACCTCAACACAAACATAACACTTTTTGTTTGCTTTGAAAGCAAAATACCATGTGCTGCGACTTTACAGTGTTTTAAATCAAGTTAGGAATTTGAGTTTATGATACTGGAAATATCATAAAAGCTGTGGATCTATGACCAAGAACTTTATGTGTGTGTGTGTGTGTTCGAAGAAACAGAGGTAGACATCTCAGTAAATCAATTGTTGAATTACCATATTAGCAATCTATTGAAATATGGAGTAAATTATTAGTTGATTTTTCTCATTGATTTCTAACACTGCTCTTCAGTGTGTGGATAGTTTTAAAAGTAGAGTAGCTCAAACTAACAAAGCCATTTACTACCCTAGTTCTACGCACAGCTTCTCCTTCTCACTTTATTACTTCATTTTGGAACTTTGATTGCCCTATTTTAGATCCAAGATGGTTCTAATGCTATACCGCAGTTGTATGAGGGGCTTAGTTTTCACTTTGTTCTCAGAACCAGGCAAGCTATAAATTTATCCTTGTTCTTTGAAGAAGCTAACAGTAAATTTTCAAGAGGAAAAATGGTGGTCTATATCCTGTAGAGGAAAAACAATCTCTTAAAAGCAGAATAACCTCCAGGCTATGCGCCTTTATACAAGGATGCCTTCAACTTTTATTTGCGTTCTATATTTTCCTTCAGACTTTCTACCTGCTCTTCTGCTCTCTGTGTAAGGTTTCTCTGTAATGACCTGTTCCTCCCCACACCCATTAAATCTGTAATGAAGTCATTCCCAGTCCTGATGTCAGAATAACTTCCAGAGCCAGGGCTAGAGAGTATATTCTGGAGCTCATCTGAAGTTTCCTTAGAAAAAGGAGCCTTAGCACCAGAAATTGGAAGGTCCACGCGAGTGGATCTCACTTTTATAAATTCTCATATGTTAGGATGAAAATGAACTCTGTTAACTAAAATCCCTGGGAAAGGTTCCATTTGGTCTAATTACATTCAAAGCCATTTTCAACTGCAGGCATTGGTTTCATTAAAATGAAACCAGTAATTCCCAGAGTTCCAGCCACATTCCCTCATCAACAGATAATAAGATCATTCAGAATGAGGAGGTGCTAAAATAACAGGATGAGTTTGTGTGTCTGTTTCTGAGTCTGACAACTTCATCACCTTTCATCTTTATTATCCAGTGGCCCTGAGCTGAATGTTGATGCAAATGTCAGGAGTTGGCACTGGGGCTCACACTTGCCAGGGCCTCTCCCGCTAGCCTGAGCACGGCCAAGGGTCAGAGACGTGGAGCTTGGGGAAGGGTGGGAAGCACAGGGGAGAGGTTAAAACGCAGCATCATCCATCCTGCCTGTGCCTCCTGAGGTCAAAACCAGCTGCTCTGTGGAGCTGTGTCTGGGGGAGCAGAGAGCAAGCACCCCAACAGTGGAAACTGTTGTCAACCCAAGTGGGCCATCGTGGACAGATTGACAGGGCCAGCCTGTTTTTCTGACCTCAGAAAATTCCAGCCAGGGTTTCTTCGGTGCCATTTCCTCCAGCCTAATTGTCCTCTTTCTCATTTTATGCCCCTGCTAGACCACCGCTCTTGATAAGGAGAGGCAGGTTTTCCGACGAAGACGCGACCAGGATGTGAGGAGCTGGTACAAGGCACAGCCCGCTCCGCCCGAACTCAACTCGGAATCAGAAGACTACTCCCCAAGCTCCTCCGAGACTGTTCGCTCCCCCAACTCGCCCTTTTAATAACACCCTTTGACTCAAAGTTCTAGCTTAACCCTTTGAGACTCTGAGATTTTCCCCCCAAATTTATGTCAAACCAGTTTCATCTGATCCATCTAGCACTGAACTGCTTGAATGGAACCACAGAAAGTGTGTTTTCTGGTATCTTTGTAGCAATTCCCTTTTGCTGACTGAGATGATCTGTTGTTTGTGAGGATGGCTACTTGCTGCTAACAGGGTCCTCAAAGGGTTAAGGCTAACTTTGCAACGTTTTTTAAGCATAGAAACAATGAATGTTTTCATCCCTCAAGCTAAGATCTGCAGTTTGTAATATATAGCGCGGTTAACCCTCTGAGTGCATAGAACTGTCTGGAGAACCCTTGGGGAGTGTGCCCGGCTTTTGGAGGTATATGCATATGTGTCTTGATTTTGCTGCAGATCAAGGAATGCTCTTAGATGCTGAGATGTCCAGACAAGAAGGGCATCTAGAAATACTTCTCGCTTGTTCATTGTGTGTGTGTGTGTGTGGTGGTGGTGGTTAGAACATGACAGGTTTATGACTTAGGCCTAGCACCCCTCTTTCTTCTTCACAATCCTCTTACAAAAGCGACTTTTAAACTTAGAGGGCTGACTGTCAGCTGCCGTGAGCCCTGCATCCCAGGCCAGGAAACAGGGTTTGGGGCAAACAGCCTAACACAGGAAAATGATGATGGTCCCCCCGCACCCGCCACCACCACCACCACCACCAAATAGTCTCCATAGGAAAATATTCTGACAATGCCCAGATATGCTGCTGCCACATCAGCTGTTGCTAGTCCAGAGAAGGTCCTCAGAGTCACCAATCCCTGTGCATGGGGAGGGAGCATCTACTTGCTCCACGTGAGCTATGTTTGGGAAAGAAACAACTGGTGGAAAAGAGCAATAAATTGCCAGGTGCTCCATAGGGCTGGGATTCCAAACAAAAAGAGGCAACTTGATTCTGTTCTTTCTCTAACTTATTTTATTTTTCATGCACTAAAGTTCCTGTCAAAATCACATAGAACGTGCCAACCATATAGAGGGAACAAGAGAACAAGAGACAAGTGCTTTGCAAGGTGGTTGAGGAAAAAAGACAGTGGGAAGATAATCCAGAACATTCTAAAGGGGCCATTAAGAAAACAAACCTCTGGTCAAATAATTCCACATGTACCCGAAGGTCATCTATGTAGAATCTTCTAGAGAGAGCAGGATGGGGGACTTCAAAGCTACCCCTGAGGATGAAACGTTTGGTTTTGGACCTTTTCCCAGAGGGATGTGTTGTTTGTCCAACTTTGGGCCAACATCTAATTCCTGTCAGTCTTTCTCCCTTGGCCCAAGTTTCTGGTGGGTTTCTTCTGGAATGTGTCTCACTGAGGATGGGGATGGGCTACTTTCTGCATTTTCCTGCAGCACGTAGGCAGGAGTTGTCTTAAAGGCAGGGCCCTAGCTCAAGCCTTCCTAAGACTCACTCGGCCCTGTGACCAAGAGACAACCATCAGGTGCTGCCTCAGGACTCATGTGTCTGAAAGGCCCAACAGCACCTATTTTCTCTGCTGTGAATATCAGTTCATATCTAGAAGCCTGGAAATTTTCGTATAACCATTCTAGAGAAAAGATCTTTATATCTTTTATTTTCAAATACACATTGATCGTCAATTGCTGCTTTTTACTCTTCACCTCATAAGTTAAGGTCTATAGTAGCAGATTTGAAAATCGTAACATGCCACGGCTTTTGCTACATAGTCTCTTCAAGTTTTTGTTTTTCCATTTTTCCATTTATCTCATCAAAGGTAGATAGAATTCACATAAAAATAAGCTGAGGGGGGAAATGCGAATTGCCTACTGAAAATACTTGCTCTGATGTGTACACAGAAGATTATTTATTGTGTTTTCCCTGCTTTGTGAGTGTCCTGAAAATAAGACACAGCATTCCAAAGTAGCACAAATCAGATCGAACAGAATACCAGAGAGGGAGTTGATGGCACAGGTTGTTTCTGTATTAGTAAAATCTTCTGAGCTAGAAATTTTTTAATTGCTGCCTTCTCTAGAATTCTGAAGCCAAGAACTGTTCAAAGCACAGCAATGGAGTAGATATTGGCATGGCTTCAACCTAAATGTGTGAATTTGAAGACTCCTATGGGCAGAGAGCCTACCTGAAGAGGATTCTCATTCTTTCTCTGAATTACTGCTTTTCCTTAGGCATTGCTTGTTTTGCTGTAGCATCTAGTATACAGAACCCCTTGTGCACAGCTCAGGCCTCTTCCAGGTCTTTGAGGGGTCTAAGCCACATGAAACTGGGGGTGGGGGGGCAAGAGTGTTTCTGAACACACTGTAGAGGGCAGCTCAGAGGGAAGCAGAGCCCTTTCAGCACAGGGATTTATCTGCTTTGCTGTTGAATGTGAATGGGCTATATTGAATAAATAGTGGAATGTGACCTGTCAAGTAGAAATTTTGAGTAATCAGATGGAATGCAATCTTTTCAGCATTAACTTATCAAGATGCTGAATGTCTGGGATGTACTCAGAGGTTAACAGCAAGCACAAGGCATGATGATTACACTGGTGTATCCAGACTGCTTTGCTTTTAGCCAGTGCTTTCTAATTTTTTTCACAACATTCTTGGGATAGTTCAAGTTCGAAATAACTAAGTGGTTGTGTTCTGTAAGGAATTTCTGTAACCAAATTCATCTTCTTTTGTTTTTAATTTTACATTATCATAGAACAAATATGTACCATTATGGCAGTGTATCGCTGTAATGGTCAATTTCATCATCGCCACACTTGTTTTCATATTTTTTCTAAGTACTGATATAGTTCTTATGCTGGTGTCCCAGTGATGGGGACTGTCTTTCCTTTATTGATACTTGGCAAACCATATGGTATTTTCAAGGGAATTTTAAGATATATCTTTTCAGGTTGGTAGTAGACTAGTTAAGGAAAAAATTCTTCATGACTTGCATCATGTAAATCACCTGTTAGATGAAACCTGTCCAAACTGATGAACCCACATTTTTCTCCACATTGTAGCAGAAATCATTTTATTCATCATAATGAATATGTGACTTGCTTTTGATCATTAGAAGGAAGAGTAAGATTTCAATCACTGAAAATGTTTTCCCCGTAGCCCTCATCTAATACACGTGGTGCATATTAAACTAAGCAGAGAAAACAAATGCAAATAAACTAGTGAAAATGCCTGGTGTTTTGTACTCAATGAGATCTTCCTGCAAACCTGCTTTGTACCCCCACGGGTGGTGGTTAGCAGGCCCGTCAGAGATTGTTGAAAGAAAGCAATATATCCAGGAATGAAAGCTAAAATTGCAATCCTTTACCCTTTGAGGCATATTTCAGTTGGGAAAAACAAAAGAAAAATTGCTTTAGCTTAGAGGGTCAAGGAGCTGCTATACGACCAAGGCTCGTGCCCATTAAATCACAGTTGTTGCTGGTCAACGGCACCCACTAGACAACTCTATCCCCTGCGCTGAAGGGTGATTGTGCTTCAGGGAGAGTTTTCTTAATGGTACTGTGCCACCTGCTAGCCCTTCCCTGGGTAAGGATCTGTCAGCATTTTCCATGATACACTTTTGTTTTCACAGGCTTTTAATTTGTCCATAAAAAAGGTGCCCTGGACTGCAGTAGGTGATGAAGTGCTGATAGCCAAGAGTCAGGGTTCGTTTCCTTCTCTTCTCTGCCCAATTCTTCCAAGAAAAGAACAAGCAGCCAACCTGGTGTGTCCCTTCCCATCTACCCTTGCCCTTTCATTGTCCTTTCAGAATTTTGGATGGCACTAAGATCTAAGGTGGTAGTTTAGTTTTAATACTATTATTCATTTGAATGGGTGTTTAAAAAATAGTTACTTGACATACTGTAAATGGCATTCCTTTTCTATCATTTGTAAATCTTTAATTTTTTTAAATTGTTGCCTAACATTTCTTGGTGCAAAGGTTTTTTGTTGATGTTGGTCAGTTTAGAGGTTCACCTTTGCTATCTGTTGACAGCCATTTCCTTTAGAAATTTGAGGAGAAATACACTCATATCCTTATTTTGTGGGCTGTGAGAGGGTCATGGACAGAGTTCTTTTGCAGAGAGGATTTCTTGATTTAATCATTGTATTTCAAGAAGCTGCTCTAGTCTGTTGGGGAAAAGAATGATTAAAAGCACTTCTAAAATGAACATTTTTGTCAACGCAGATGCAATTAGAAGACAACAGATTGTCAAACCTGACCCTTGTTTTGCTTACAGGCAACTATCGAATGCTCTAAAGTTGAGGACAAACCTGAGGACACGGTAAACATTTAGTCACTGCAAATGTGCTTTAAGAATGGCCTCAATGGTGCTTATACATGAAACAGTAACAAATGGGGTCCCTGGGACTGTCAGAAAGAATCTCTCATTTGTATGTAATTACATACTTAAGGAGGAGGTGCTTTAAAACCAGTCTTTATTTTCTAATCATCTCAAATATGCAACCATCCATCCAGTGACATTAAGGGTCATAAACTAGTGGGAAACAGGAAATTCAGTGTAGAGGCTTAGAATGCCTCTGGTTGGGTTGATTTCTTCCGTTGCTGTATTTTTTTTGTTATTGTTATTGTTGTTGGGTTTCAACCCTGAAGCTGTGGTGATCATTTTTCAGTGAGTGAGCTTCTAACTAGCAGGTGTTTTGATCATGAGGTTTGCAGTACCCTACCCTTGGAGAGTGAGAACTCTAGTTTTATTTTTTTTCCCTAAAGGAAGAATTAATAGTGTCTGCAGTTACACCCATACCTGTCAATGTCCTCCACTTACTCTTTTGGTCAACTGAAGTGAGGCCCTTAATGTTGCTTTAATGTAAAATTGTATATTTTCGTCTGTGCTATACTTTAATAACTTCAAGTAAATAATGATTCTAAAAGCCTTCACTGTAGGTATTAAAAGAAAGGAGACTTTAAAAAGCAATGATAAAGATGCTGTGATGTCAATTCATCCCAGTCCAATCACACATGGTAAGAAAAAGACCTTGACTAGTTCTCTAGGGACAATTTCTCACTTGCCATTGACATTAATCTCTGATGTATTCTCAGAAAAAAAAAGAAAAGAAATTGAAACTGGTCCAAGGTTAGAGTCATATGCTCAATAACTATTTTTTTTATTTTATTAGGAAATTAATAATAGCCTTTTTCATTCTGGCTGAAAGAAAATTATTAAAGGATTAGTTGAGTGTGAAATTAAATAGTATTTTGCTCATGCATACTAAAAAGGTGGGCTAGGAACTTGAAGCATTTAAACAAGTTTCTGAAAGGTTTCAATTTGGTATAAGGGGGAAAATGCGATGTTTCTTTTGAAAATACTGAATTTATCAGTTGCTGCATGGATCAGATGGCATAGGTTAATCTTTGATTTTCAGAATCTTAATGAAATAACTTTCAATAGATTTGTATCCATGATTAAAGCTGGAATGAGATCGAAATTTTTTCCTAATCTCTAAGTTTAAGCTAATAAATGTAGGTTCATGTGGAATGAAATCATCTGTGATATATTATGTTCATTTATCAACTGAGATTTTTTTGATGTTGCCTGTTTTTATGTAAAACATGTTCTTAAAGTTAATAAAATTATAGTACTTGGTGTATGAACTATTATGTAATGCCGGAGTTGCAGTGTCCACACCTCAATTGACTTCGCCGTAATGGAGGACACATTCAGT